ACTTTGGGAGGCCGAGACGGGCGGATCACGAGGTCAGGAGATCGAGACCATCCTGGCTAACACGGTGAAACCCCGTCTCCACTAAAAAAAATACAAAAACCTAGCCGGGCGAGGTGGCGGGCACCTGTAGTCCCAGCTACTCGGGAGGCTGAGGCAGGAGAATGGCGTAAACCCAGGAGGCGGAGCCTGCAGTGAGCTGAGATCCGGCCACTGCACTCCAGCCTGGGCGACACAGCGAGACTCCGTCTCAAAAAAAAAAAACAAAAACAAAAAGAAATAATCCTGATTCATTTTGTAATATAGCATAATCCAAGCTTAGCTAAATTCCAGAACAAAAAGTAAACTTTAAACCAAATTCACTTGTGAATATAGATGCAAAAATTCTATTTTAAATGTTGTTAAGTCAATTACAAAGGTATAAGCCCATATTATAGCGTACACAGGTAAAGATTATTCTGGAAATGTTACAATGGTTCGACATTGGAAAACTAATATAATTCATTCACTGAAACGTGAACCTGATAAATGTTGCAATGGCATTTGATAAAATTTAATATCTACTCCTATTTATTTACTTACTTAAACAAATTATTCTACAACTTCTGTGGTAGCCTCATATTTGTATTCCAAGCTCTTTTAGCACTGGAGACCAGTCCCAACCCTTGGCCGTTGGTTGTAGCCCTGTACTCATCTGTACCCCATCTAACTTGTCCTCTAGGACCTAGGTCCTGAATCCTGCATCCCAGCTTTGGGCAAAGGATCAGTCAAGCCGCATCGCCTTCCCACTATGTAATAAATCCCTACTGTGTCTGAGTTGTCGCCTACTCTATACACTCACCATCAGATTGGATCCCTTGAGCAGACATCTGCCTGAATTAGAGCCAATATTTCCTAGTCCTAGGTATTGCCAGGAGTTAGTTCCCAAGCCATGGCCCCACTGCTCTGGGCTGAATGCCCATTTCTTTCTAGTACAACAGCCTTTGCAGCGGGGCCACGTGGGTGATGACTCTTAGTTGGCTGATCTCAAGTCCCTTCTTCTATTGCTAAGGACAATCATGAAGAAAGAAGATTAAGCTGTAGCGATAGAATGTTCAGTAGAAAATATGAAAATGATTAATGCTGATAAACTCACTACTCTAGACAGAGGCCATTTCTGACTTGATTGTCTGCAATGTTATCAAATAACAATGTTCAGCTTATCTTTGGTCTAGTTTTCCCCATTCTTCCAATTTCTCAGTGTCCAACTTCTAAAGAAGACCACTGGACTATAAATTCCCTGAGGCCAAGGAAGATCTGCTGTGTTCACTGTTGCATTCCCAGTGGGTTTAGAATAGAGGCTTGTTACTGGAGAAAGGCACTTACCTTGAGCTTTGCAATCTGCCCCACAACAGAGCCCACAGCTCCAGCTGCTGCACTAACCATCACTGTTTCTCCACCCTTCACACCACAGATTTCAAGTAGACCAAAGTAGGCAGTCAGGCTAAAGGAAGAAAATTAAGGATATATGAATAGAGTGGTTTCTTTCCTCTATAACTCATTTATATGTATCTTGAAGGCCTTCTTACGAGTGCCATAGGTCTGAGTAAAAGACAAAAATACAGGAAATAAATATTGCCAGTCACTGTTGCTTTACTTCCTCCATCTCTACTCTCAGATAGGAATAAAAATGATGTGAACTAGGGAGGGAAGGGAGAGTTGGCTAGAAAGGGGCTGTATCCTGTCCATTCACAGGCCAAATTTCAGGAGCAAAAGATAGATCATCTTTCTCAAACTTTGGGGATTCAAGAAGAGAGAGCTATGCATCATTCCCATATAAGTTCTATGGAGATGATGAGCTTCATGGGAGAAGCCCCTATGTTATCATGGTGACATAGCCACAGATAGCTACGATGTGTGATATTAGGCATGAGAGGGTCACAGGGAGCATCTGGAGCTTTCCATGACTCCAAAGTGGTATGGAAGACCTTCCAGAATTTCCCCGTATTACCCTAAGTGAGATGTCAAAGTTAGCTTGCAGGAAAAGAGCTACTGGATATACAAAGATGCAGCACTGGCAGTACTGATGGGGACTGGGTGAAGACACCACCACACCTCTTTGGATTGTGAGTTTGGAAGGTGATAGGATTGAAGACTTTCTTCACCACCAAAGTTTCCTTGTGTCTCCCTTCACCTCTTCTCCCCTACACCTGGCTCACAGTCCAGAGGGAATGATGGATAACAGAGGAGAACGGAGAGGAAGAGCTCTCATCCGTAGAGGGTGCAAGGCAGGTAGGAAACACCCAGAAGTGCTGGAATTGTTTAGTGCCCACTAATTTCATGGAAGACGGTATTCAGCATCCTCTACTTTCACAATGATGTCCTTGGCAGTGGCAATTTTGAGGAGTTCAAATTCAAAGTGAAATATGAATTTGGGGTACCTAGGAGTTGTGTTTGTTTAGAGTCTGATCATTTGATGGTATATATGTATTTCCATTTCATTCCTCAGAAAACCTTCAAAGTGTAAAAAAGGAAGGGGAAGGAAGGGTGGGAAGAAGGAAGGGGGGAAAAGATCTCAAAACTTAGAGAAAGGAAGTAACTTTGAGCAGGAGACCAGCTTAAGACCAGTACAGATCGAGATCAAGAAGTTGTTGTTGTCCCTCTTCTACTGACACTGAACTTGTATTATCCTTGGAGCTTTGCAACAACCCCAGGGAGAAGAAAAGAGAAATCCTGAGTTTTATATTTGAAATGATGTGAGAAATCACTGAATTCAACTGAGGTTTTCTCTTTTTACAGCAGCCAAAAGGAGGGGTTGAGATAGAAATGAAGTTCAGTAGTGGACAAGTTTAAGCTATATTTTTGCAGCCCTGGATCTGAGCCAATAAAATCCGGACCCATTATAGTGATTGTTAAGGCACTTGCAGAATTTCAGACACATTCATGTAAAGTTATTTCCGCATTAAAAAAAAAAACAAGTACATGTTGACATTAGTTAGCTTATACAGCCTCTGACTATATTTGAGGCCCATGGGAGGTTGGCATTGAATAGAATGCAGTGACAGGCACAGGCACAGGCAGCACTTTTTCTGAGAATCCAAATATCTCCCTTAACACAATGTTTTCCAAAATGGCGGGGCAGCACCAGGTGTCTCAGATTCACCTGAATTGTTTTTTGTTTTTTTTTTTCTTTAGACAGAGTTTCGCCCTGTTGCCCAGGCTGGTGTGCAATGGCGTGATCTTGCCTCACTGCAACCTCTGACTTCCGGGTTCAAACGATTCTTCTGCCTCAGCTTCCCCAATAGCTGGGATTGCAGGCATGTACCATCACACTCACCTAATTTTTTGTGTCTTTAGTAGAGACAGGGTTTCACCATGTTAGCCAGGCTAGTCTCGAAGTCCTGACCTTGTGATCTGCCCGCCTGTGCCTCCCAAAGTGTTGGAATTACTGGTGTAGGCCACCGTACCCGGCTGAAATGTTTGTTTAACATTTAGATTCTCAGGCCTCACCCTAGACCCACTGATTCAGAAATAATCCAAATGTTAATAAGACTCTAGGTGATTCTTATGAATGCTAGCAATTCAGAACTACTCCCTTTACAAAAAAATTTTTTTTGAGACAGGGTCTTGCGCTGTTGCCCAGGCTGGAGTGCAGTGGTGAAATCACAGCTCACTGCAGCCTAAACCTCTAGGGCTCAATGGATCCTCCCACCTCAACCTCCCAAGTAGCTGGGACTACAGGCACATACCACCACACCCAGCCAATTTCTGAAATTTTGTGAAGACAAGGTCTCACTATGTTGCCCAGCCTGGTTTCCAACTCCTTACCTAAGACGATCCTCCTGCCTCAGCCTCCCAAAGTGCTGGAATTACCAGCATGAGCCACCATACCTGGCTGGGATGGGTCAACTTTCAAGAATGCTAGGACTTCTAATATAGACAATAAGAGAAGTTGAACTTTGAAATCTAGGGTGTCTTTTAGCTGTCCAGACTCCACAGATTTAACATTCCCCCAAAGTTTTGCATCTTTTCCTTCAATTAAGTTGGAAGAGCACATGTATTCATGTGTTTGCTCTCCAAACCACTGATTCTATTAAGTCCTTCTTAGTCCAAAGTACAACATTCATTTTCCCTCAAGAATTTCTTTACTTTTGGCTTCTTCATCTTATCTCCATTGTACTTTATTTTATTTTATTTTATTTATAATTTTTTTTAAATTATATTTTGAGATGGAATCTCGCTCTGTCACCCAGGCTGGAGTGCAGTGGTGCAATCTTGGCCCACTGCAATCTCTGCCTCCGGGGTTCAAGTGATTCTCCTGCCTCAGCCTCCTTAGTAGCAGAGATTACAGGTACATGCCACCATGCCTGGCTAATTTTTGTATTTTTAGTAGAGATATGTTGGTCTCTGCATGTTGGTCAGGCTGGTCTCGAACTCCTACCTCGTGATCCGCCTGCCTCGGCTTCCGAAAGTGCTGGGATTACAGGCATGAGCCACCGTGCCCGTCCTCCATTTTATTTTAAAAGGAGATAATGTTTGGGAAAGGCTTTGTAATCAGAATATCTAATTGAAAGTCAACTCTGGAAATATCTAGAAGGTATATTGGGAGAGGGAGATGCTGGTTGTCACAGGTGGAATAACTCAATCAGAAAGTATAGCCTCTGCTTCTCTTTTGGGGTTAGGTGAACTGGCCCAGAAAACTCTGGCATTAGCAAAGAAGACCCATCCCATTGGTCAGTGACTCATAATGACAGGAATTCTCATTGAAAGGGTGATGTGTTGCCAGAGGATTCTTAGAAACGGGCATGTATGACTCCCCAGCTCAGTCACTGAGAACCACTGTTGATTGTTTAGAGTAAACGTACATTAACATGCACTTCTTAGTGGCTTGGATCAGATGAATGAGAAATATACACGAGTGAATAAATCACCTTCTCTTTCAGGAGTCAGAATCTCCTAATATATTACAAATTACCTTCTCAACAACCAAAGTTTCCTCGTGTCTGCCTTCACCTCTCCTCCCCTACACCTCGTTCACAGTACAGAGGGAAGGATGGGTGGGATAACAAAGGAAGAGGAAGAGCTTTCACCCGTAGAGGGTACAGGGAAGGCAGGAAAAAACAAAAAGTGCTGCAATTGTTTAGTGTCCACTAATTGAATGTAAGAAGGTATTAATTTTAGCAAATATTAATTACTAAAATATTTGTTCATGCCAGGCATGGTGGGTCTAACTGAAATTTTGTATCCTTTGACCAACATCTCCCCAACCCTTCAGCCTCCCGACCCCTGGTAACCATCATTCTACTCTCTAATTCTATGAGTTCAACTTTTTTAGATTCCACATTTAAGTGAAATAATGTGGTATTTGCCTTTCTGTGCCTGGCTTATTTTCCTTAACATAAAGTCCTCCAATGGTGTCACAAATGACAAGATTTTCTTCTTTTTTTAAGGCTGAATAGTATTCCACTGTGTATATAGACCATGTTTTCTTTATCCATTCACCCATTGATGGACACTTAGGTTGATCTTCCTGCTTAGTCCTGCCATCTTCTCTAATCAGCCCCTGAGCCTATCGTGCATCAAATATCTTCCTGTTGACCAAGTTCTGAACAAACCATTTTGGAAAACCAGAGTGTCAGACATTTAAACAAATGAAATATATTCATGAAACTCACCCTGGCATACCAACTGTCCCCAGAGCCAAAGACAGTGGTATTGTGTCTGGCCACTCTGTCAGCAGCTTTTCCAGATCTTTCCCATCAGAAATGGAGTGTGTTGTCCAGCCTGGAGAAGTCAGTACAATAGTTCCTTTTGGTAGGTCTGCATTTTTACTTTCCACAACTCTGAAAGATAAAGCACATTAAGACATTAAGGCATGGGACATGTCTTCCCTTTCAAAGGAGTCAGGATGCTGTGGAGTTAGTGTTGACAAAAGGGCACTGAGGTTGATATTCCACAACTGATAGTCCACCACCCCTCTCCATCTTAATTCTTAGCCATCGGCATAGGGATCATCAGAGAACTCTCAACTTACCCAGCCACTTGAGGAGTGGCTCATGGGGTGAGGAGCGCCTGTTCTCACCCACTTCTATTCCTTTTAAGCAAGAGGCCTCTGTCCTCTGGCTCAAGGTGACCTGGACACTAGCCTTCTCTTCTTCAGGTGTCGCTCTCTTTCCCTTTGCCTCCACTCTCCAGAATCTTTGAGATTTTCCTCTCTACTCTCCCTTTCACTCAACATATAAGTATGCTCAACTCTGCCGTCTTATAATCCCATCCCTCCCCTATCTCCTTGCTCCTTCATCTTCCTTTTTCAGCCCAACTTCTTCACTTTCCATTCATGTGCTAACCCACTGCAACCTGTCTTCCACCCCTACTACTCCATTAAGGTCGCAAGAACCTCCTGAGCACAAAATCCAGTGGATATTCCTTAATCATTGTCTGGTTTTACTTTTCCACTCTCTCCCCCACCAGTCTCTCTCTGTCTCTGTCTCTGTCTCTGTCTCTGTCTCTCTCTCTCTCTCTCTCTCTCTCTCTATATATATATATATACACACACACTTTTTTTTTTTTAAGATGGAGTCTTGCTCTTGTCGCCCAGGCTGAAGTGCAATGGTGTGATCTCGGCTCACTGCAACCTTCGCCTCCTGGGTTCAAGCAATTCTCCTGCTTCAGCCTCCTGAGTAGCTGGGATTACAGGCGCCTACCACCACACCAGGCTAATTTTTGCCGTTTTAGTAGGGACGGGGTTTCACCATGTTGGCCAGGCTAGTCTCGAAATCCTGACCTCAGGTGATCCACCTGCCTTGGCCTCCCAAAGTGCTGGGATTACAGGTGTGAGCCACTGTGCCCGGCCTACCCTTTTCCACTCTATTAACACAGGGTCACCCAAAAGTCTCCCCTCACTGGTTCCCAGGATACTGATGATCTCTGCTGGCTTTTTGCCTCCTCCTCTAAGCTGCACCCTTTCTGTCTCATTTACTGATTCCCTTTTCTTCATCCAACTCTTTATCCTTCTTTACCATCTTTCGTCCCCAGATCATAAAGTTATATAACACATATTTATTCTAGAAAATTTTAAACATATAAAATAAAAATATCAGTTCTAATCTCACAGCACAAAGACAACTGCTAACATTTGGGTGTATTTTATGTCAGTCTTAATGGTGAATTTTAAAATGTGTACTATACGTATTTTTTTATTTTTTATGTTTATTGTTTGAGACAGAGTCTTGCTCTGTGGTCTGGCTGGAATGCAATGGTGCCTTCTCGGCGTACTGCAACCTCTGACTCCCGAGTCCAAGCAATTCTCCTGCCTCATCCTCCCGAATAGCTGGGACTACAGGCGCCCGCCATCACGCCCAGTTAATATTTTGTATTTTTAGTAGACATAGGGTTTCACCATGTTAGCCAGGATGGTCTTGGTCTCCTGACCGTGTGATCCGCCCGCCTTGGCCTCCCAAAGTGCTGGGATTACAGGCGTGAGCCACCGTGGCCCTCCATTTTT